GGGGGGGGGCCACAAGTGTGAAGCTGTTAAAGTGGCACGGGGCACTTTCTCCCCGCTGGGTGCTGGGGTTGGAACCTGGGTCCTAAGGTCAGCGCTCAGCCCTGAGCTTCCCTCCCATCCCCGTGCAGCCTTGCTTTTGAAGGAAGTGCTCTTTGCCACTGTTGGGGGCTCCTGAGCACCCTCGATTATTTCATGCACTGAGGCCAGCTGATGAAGGAGACCGCACTTGCTGCATCCTTGTCTGCATGATGTCAGTACCTGGTTGTGGTCTTGGCCAGGCTTTATGGAGGGTGGGTTGCTTGCTAAGCACTGGCAGGTGATTTCCACTGACCCTGCTAGTCCTTAGCAGCAGTCCTGGAACATTTCCTGTCGCCCAGTTTATCAGGCCAATAACAGCCCAAACTGGGTATGGTCTTCACTTCCCCTCGTTCTTGCCTCTTTCTCTCTCTCTTTTTTGGAGACAGGGTCTCCCCACGTAGCCCAGGCTGTCCTCAAACTCAGAGTGATCCTCCTGCCTCAGCCACCTGAGTGGCCTCTTACAGACTTAGTAGTTCTGTATGCTGTCACCAAGCTGGGCTTGATTCCTGTTTGGGTGGGTTTTTTTTTTGGTACGGGGGTTCGAATATGGGACCTTATGCTTGTGAAGCAGGAGGTGGAACCACTGAGCTAAATCCCCAGCCTGTTTTGTTTTATTTATAAGGTAGGGTCTCATTGTGTTATCTATGCTGGCCTCAGACTCACTGTGGAGCCCAGGATGACCTCAAACTTGAGATCCTCCTGTCTGCCTCCTCCCATTGTCACCTGACTCCTGTCCCTGGTGTCCTTTTATCCCTTGCTGTTTCTCAGTGGTGCCCCCCCAGGGGGTGAATTCCAGTCCTCCTCCCTATGCTCTGTGGAAGACTTGCTCTGAGAGTGAGGACTCAGCTTGCCAGGGGACATGTCTTGAAGCCTCAGGCCACGCTCACGTGGCCGGCCTGCTTGCCCAGTGTGCTGTGGATGCCGCCTTGACACTGGGAGAGGATTTGTCTATACAGAGGAATACACTGCGTGCGAGAGGATGGGAAAATGCTTAGTGTGTTCTATCCCATTTATCAGTACAGTTCCTTGGCCTGAATGGTTTAGAACTTGTGATTGTAGAGCTGGAAGGGCTCGGGTTTGTGCCTCCTAGTGGGTGTGAGGAGAGACGTCTATGACAGGAGGAAGCTGTCCTGTGAGGCTGCGCGTGTGCAGTGGCTGTTTTCTGGGCCTGCTCATGCAAATGTGTTGCTAAAAGTGGACTGAGTTGGCTGGCCCTGGTGGTGCCCAGCGGAGAACAACACCAGCCTCGTCTAAGTCTTCGCTCGAGCTTGGTATGATCCTGAGAGTGCTCTGGCTTTCTGCCCCTAATCTCATCACCTGCCAGTCAAGGTTGGATCTAGTACTGTCCGCATTTTCCTACAAGGAAACTGAGCCACAGGGAAGTTTAACAAATCCAAGGTCACACAGCTGGTGAGGGGAGGAGCTGGCATTTGAACCCAGGCAATCTGCCGTGGAGCATGCATTATTTTTCCTGTTCGTTTCATTTTAAACGCAATTGAAGTCCAAGAGGAAAGCATAAACAGTTGAGTGTTCAGCTTACTGATAATCACCAAGTTTAGGGTCTTTATTCTTGTTTCCAGCGAGGCCCGAGTGGGCTTTGATGTCAGATCTGGTCTGTTCCAGTTCCCTTGCTGCGTGGGGGCAAATCCCTTAGCCTCCCGACTGTTGATGCCGTGTGCGTGGCAGGCTGCTGATGGGTAGGGTTCATGGTGGTGCATGGCAGATGCCTGGCGGACGACTTACTTTATTGAGAATTAAGAGTCTAAGTTGGCCTCCCATTCACTCCCCAGGGATTTAAGGCAGCTGGATTTGGCAGTGCACTAAGTGTGGCCGGGCCTTTTGGAGAGAATGCTCCATATGTCTGTCCTTAATTTAAAATGTCCCACTTACGCCTTATGTCTGTGTGTCTTTTTTTCCTTTTTGGTAGCCCTGGGGATTGAACCCGCGGCATGCCACCATGAGCTGCACACACTGTCAAGCCTGGCTCTCGCTAAGTTGCCAGGCTGGCCTCAACTTGCTGTTCTTACCCCTTGGCCTCCCGTGTCGCTGGCGAATAGGCAAGCACCACACTCCCAGGCCACTCGTGACTCTTAAAATTTATTTATTTATTTATTTTGGTCCCCGGGATCGAACTTGGGACCTTGTGCATGCAAGGCAGCAGTGGTGCCACTCAGCTAAATCCTGGGCCCCTCGTACCTTTTAAGTGTAACCACAGGTGCCCAGTGTGAGTTAAAGGTCTGTTCCTAGGGCTACGAAGGAGCCTTTGGGGACTTACCGGTTTAACCCCAGCTCTGTCCTGATGTGCTGTGTATTCATGGTGAAACCCTATCTAAACAGCACTGTGCTAAGTTCAGGTTGTCCCACTCACCTTCCAGAGGAATGTGTGTGCCTCTGGGAAAAAGACTTAGGGCTATTTTTATCTTGAAAAATTATTCACTTAAAAAACAAACTACTTTTGTGACTGGCCTTCCTGTCCCACTCGGTGCCAACCAGCTCGTTGGTTTAGGAGAGCGTGTGCGCCATCATCACGGACAGCCTGGCTTCCAGTCTGCCGCTCACCTGAGCCTGGCAGGGCGGGAGGTTGCCTGGCCGCGCACAGACACGGAGCTCCGTGTGCCCTGCCATCTGAGCCGGGAGGGCAGAGGCAGCGAGCGGCTTGGTTAATGCGGAGGCACCGGGACCTGCGTGGAAGAAGAGTGGCGCAGCCCACGGGGCCCTGTGCAGAGCAGACCCACGCGCAGGGTGCTGCACAGGCACCAGGGTCCTTGTTGGTGTCAGGGCCTCACTGCCGGGCTTTGCTGAGCTGACATGCGGCCTGGAGGAGCGACTATGCCCAGGAGGACCCGTCCCTCCCATGGTCACCTCCCTCCCCGGGAGGCCTCCTGGAGGTGATGGGGCGCTGGAGACGGAAGACTCAGGTGGGGCCCTGATGTGAGACCCAGGGGTCGCTGCTTCCGCTCATGCCTGTGACATGGCAGGGTGTGGCCTGCTGCTTCCCACACCGTGAGGACTAGGAGGGCCGCCTGTCTGTGTTCGGCCTTCCTAGGCAGTAGTGCTTCCAGGGCCTCAGTTTCGTCCTCTGTACAGTGGGTGGTCTGCGCACAGAACGGCACATTCAGCTTGGAACTGTGCCTTGGATTCACTGCACCATAGTGGTCTGGCGCTCCCGGGTGGTGGCCAGTGGTGCAGGCCAGTCCTGCTCTCTGGAACCTGGGCTCTGGGCCTGTGTGCGTGGCTAACCCTTAGGGATGTAGGGATGGGGCCGGTGGGCGCAGAGCTGGGCGAGGGAGGCCTGGCAGCCAGGTGAGTTCCTGGTCCCCTTCGGGCTGCATGGGAAGGGCTGCTTGTGGCAAGCGTCCTGGAAGGAGCAGCCCAGAGGAAGAGGGAGCCGCAGACGGCAGCAGCGGGCCCTGAAGCCACCAGCAAGGGAGAGCTGTTTTCCCGTCAGGGCTGCCTGAGTCACTGGGTTTGGTTTCTCTAAACAGTTGCTGTCATTTATAGGGACTTTGGTGCAGACCCCACTCACTGTTTCTTAAGGAAGAGAAATCCAGGGGTGGCTGCTGTGTGGGACTGCACCCCACATCCCAGATCACAGCAAGCCCTGCCCCTTTCTGCCGTGCGTGGCCCTGAACACCCGGAGATGCTGCTCCAGCCCGAGGGGCAGTTTTCCTCTCTGCTTCCTGCCAAGCTGTGTTGGGACAGGCCGATAGAGTTCAGGCGCTCTGGTCGTGTGGAAGACAGCAGCCCTCCCTTATCCGGGCCTCACATCTTGCCTGTCTCCCCTGTCCAGAAGGTGATGAGTAAGCATACTTGGCCCTGGCCTCCCCAGGGGGCTGCTCCCCTCCCGGGGCCTCTGAGCACCTGAAGCTACACAGGCAGCCGTTGCCACCTCGGGGGGATTGTGTCATGGGGTATTTGTGATGTGGACCGGGGAAGACGCGTAGAGGGAGGAATCTCGCTTCCCAGTGCTGTCCGGCCAGTGTGGATGGTGCTTCTCACCGTCAGCCCAGTACCCAACCAGGTGGCCCTCACGAGTTCCCCGTCTCTGCTGTCCGCCTGTGTCGCTAAGAAGCCCGTGGTAAGGGTTTCGTTTTGTATTGCGGCCTTGGTGACTTTTGGTTCTTGGGACATTGTGGGTGACATCCTTGTTGATGTTGCCCAAAGCAGCCTTAAGCAGAGCTGGCCGCAAAGCGTCAACCCCCAGATTGGCTCATTTTAAGAAGCAAGTCTGGTGAAGCTTACGTGACTCAGAAGCACCTCAATGACACTGAGGCAGCACAGGACCCTCCCGCTAACACCACGGCAGAGACAGCTGGCCCGTGAGGCCACGGGGCTCAGTAGGAGATAACAGAGTAGCCAGGGCCGGAGTAATCGCACCCAAACTCTGTTCCCACGAGTAACACCTTCTTACCTAAGGACAAGATTCTAATTACAACCCATAGTTTGTCTACTCTGTCCTGGATTGGAGGTTGCTGATGGAACGTGACCCAGCTCTCGGCAGATGCGTTCAGGTGGGACTGTCCGTGAGACCTGCCCACTGGAGAACTGAGTTGTCAGTGCCAGTTAATCCAGCATCACTACGAGCTAGGCTTTGGGTCAAGGCGAAGTCCAGAGGGGAGAGAGACCTGGGGATAGTTGTAAAATCCGGTTGTTTTGGGTGGGGCGCGGCCAACAGGCACGGGTAAGGAAGGAGCCAGCCCCTCAGCTTTCTGGGAGAGTTGGGGTTTCTTCTCCCGAAAGCACTGCTGTACTGGCTGCTGTGCTGCCCTCAGGAGCCCTGGGTCCTGAAGGCCTCGCCTCAGAGAGCGGCCGGATGTTGGGAAGCGGAGGCTGGTAGCGCATGGTGAGCGGCTGTCAGCCAGGGGGAGAGCCCGTGCCTGCTCAGCTGACGCGCAGGCCGGGTCTGTTGGAAGCGTGTGACTTGGAGGCAGGCCACCTGCCTCTGGCCGCCGTCCAGAGTCCACCCCGCAGCCTTGTCTCACAGGCGCGTGCCTTGTTTGTGCAACCTCCCCCGTGGGCCACCAGCAGAGAGGGTGGCCTGGAGCGTGGGCTTCTGGTTTTATGGCACCGGTGGCACCAGGCGGAAGGGCTCGAGTCCGGGTGGCCTTGGTCTTTGAGGAGTTTGGTCTAGAGTGTGTCACAGGCAGAAATACTCTTTTCCTTTCATTTCCTTGAAGGCCGACACCCTGTTCCTGAGGTTTAAGGAATTTAAGGTGGAAGTGGGATCAGCAGAGGCCTCAGAGGTCACCTGGCTTCTCCCTGGAAGAGGCCCTAGGGCTGCCATGGAGGCTGGGACAGAGGCTGCACCATGGGCTTGGGGCTCTCGGCCCTGGCCCTCCTTCCTTCCAACTGCACTTCGCTCGGCTGGGTGCAGAGAAGGGGTCCCTGGAGTGCTGGTTGGAGCCCCGCTTTTTTTACTGAAATGCCTTCCACTTCCCTAAGCGGAGGTCAGTGGGCACCTTCCGCTTGTCTAGGTGCTGATCTTCCTAGAAGAGCGGACACGGTAAGTGTTCTGACCCCCGCCCCCCGTGTCAGGATTTCTCGTGGCAGGCCCACCTCTGTTTCTGTGGCCAGGAAGTAGAGTGAGATGCATGGTTACTGGGCACCGATGTGTGTCGGCATTTTCACCAGGCCTCTGCTCTTATCTCAGATCTGCCTGTGAGGAAAGTGGCACTGCCCTCCCGGCTCCCGGCTGGCAGGAGGGGGTGCAGGCCCTGCCGCAGCTCTGCATCTGAGGCCGCAGCTGGGCTGGATTTCCTCTTCCCTGGATGGCTTACTGCAGTTTGACCTGGGGGAGCATTGATGGCATTTTGATAATTCTTTTTTTTTTTTTTCTTGTGGTACCGGGGATCGAACTCGGGTCCTTGCACTTGCAGGCAGGCCACCGAACCGCTAAGCTAGATCCCCCGCCTGTATTTTGATAATTCTAATCACCCTTGATGTTGGAGGTGTGCTCTTCAGCATGTGACAAAATGTTCTCTATTGTGCCTACTTTTAATCAGAAGAAGGCAACTTCCAAATTTGCATGTTTGAGTCTGTGCTCTTTTTATGCGTTGTGTTATTCATAGCGTGACAGCTTGAGGGTTTTCGCAGGGCAGAAACACAGAGCTGGTGAGCGGTGGCCTTGCCTTGAGGGCACATGGCTGTGGGACTTGGGGTTCAGGGCAGAGTAAACCATGAACCCTTTGGATGTGTTCATGTCTGCTGAGGTGATACCTAGGTCCTTTGAGAGGATCGACTGAGTTTAAGAGACAGTTTCTTTTGTGTCATTTAAAAAAAAGTTTTTTTGATACTCTTGTTGCATTGCCCAAGCCAGGCTCAAACTTGTCATCCTCCTGCCTCAGCCTCCCATAGTCCTGGGATTATAGGCATGTGCTGGCACAATCAGTTCATTTTTGGCAACACTTCTGTAGTTTTGTTTTTGTGTCAGACTCTAATTTTGTGTGTATTTTTATTTGGGCGAGGTACAGTGTGGCTCTTAACTTTCAAGAAAATTTAATAATCAGTTATTACAATAGGGGATTAGATAACCTTCCTTACTCACTGGATTGCATTTGAGGTGTTTATGTAGGTTCAGTCTGTTTCTGGATTCTGCCTTTTGATTTATTGTGGCTCATTGCTGTTTTTGCCTCACGCTGCGAGGACTGCCTGGCCTCTTCCGCATTTGGGAGAGGAGGCTCCCTTCCCCTTTCTGCTGCTTTCAAACTGTCTGCTTGGGCTGGGTTGATCTGGGAGAGGCTGAGAGAACAGCACACTCTGCCTGCAGCTCCTGGCCACTTGAGGACAGCACAGTGCCCTGGGGGCCAGGAATCCAGTGGGTGCTTTCCTGGGGGCCTCAGGCAGAGTTAGAACCCAGGGATGTCTGGAGTCCGAGGGCCGTCCTCTACGCTGTGCTACCTGTGGGTTAGACTCCAGGGTGCAGTCTGGTTTCTTTAGTGTTGACATTTTAAAGATGAAGGGTCACTTGTCGTGGCCTGGGGCTGGCAGTCTGCAGCTTGGATAGGGCCCTAGGTGTGTGGCACCAGCACTTTGAGTCTTCTTTTGGTTGTACTGGGGATCGAACTCAGGATGTGGCACTTGCTGGCAGGTGCAGTGGCGATGCGCTAAATACCCAGCACTCTTGACTGCGTACTCAGTCTTGGGCTTTGTCCTATTACTGATCATCTCTCTTCCTGCGCCCTTCTCCCGACCTCTGCCGGCTGATCAGGTCAGTGTGAGCCTGGGCACCATGAGTGTGACAGTGTCACGAGAGGCACAGCCAGCTCCGGCGTGCCCAGGCAGCGTCCCCGGCAGCACCGTGTGCGGTTTGTCGTGCTGTCTTCCTGCCCTGTTAGAGAGCTCTGGATTTGTGTGCTGTCTCAGAGCAGATGCTCCTCTCCTGCGGGTTATGAATCCGCAGCTTCTGACGGAGATGTCCTGCTTGTCGTCTCCCTGCGTGCGTCAGCGCTGTGTCGCTGTGGCACAACGCCTCAGATAGCTGAGAAGAGGGGTTCACTCGGACGCCCGCGTTCCGTTGGGAGGCGTTGGGCGTCGCTTGGCCCTGCCGCCCTGGGGCTGTGGTGGACTGGACCTTGGGGTGGGAGCGCCGGGCAGAGGAGGGAGCAGAACGACAGGGAGGGCGAGGGACTCCCTCCTGTGGGGCCGCTTCCGAAGAGCCACAGGCTGAGGACTGAGCCCATAACACCGCGGCCTTTGGGGCCTTCCAGACCCACATTACAGTTCCTTCTCCCTCAGCAGACAAGCTCCTCCGAGCAGCCCCCTCTGTTCGGCACAGTCCCGGTGCTCCCAGGGTGGTGCCGGCCGTCAGGGCTGTGACTGGCGGGCGACGGTGATGGCAGTGGTGAGGAGGGTGGCTTGCCCCAGGCGTGCCGTTTGGGTTGTCTCCTGCTATTTGACGACATGGCAGTGGGTGCGTTGACTCCTCAGGGCATCCTGGGAAGGTCAGGCCCTCCGAGCTGGGTGCCGAGAGGCAGCACCTTTGGGTTTGTTGTCCAGCTCCTTCATCTCCTGTCTGTGTCTCTCTAGTTTCTGGGACCAAGATGACTGATGGAAACCTTTCCACCTCTACAAATGGCATAGCCCTGATGGGCATTCTGGACAGGCGGCCGGGAAACACGCTTCAGAGCCTGCAGCACACGAGCGTCACGGCGCCGGAGTACAGGCCCAGGCTGAAGCTCGAGGTCTTGGAAGACCGGGACAGCCTTCAGTCGGTGGACTCCGGCATCCCTACCCTGGAGATCGGCAACCCCGAGCCTGTGCCCTGCAGTGTGGTCCACGTGAAGAGGAAGCAGTCGGAGTCTGACATTGCCCCCGAGCGGGCCTTCCAGAGTGCGTGCCCGCTGCCTTCCTGTGCGCCCCCGGTCCCCAGCGGTGCCGAGCGGGAGCAGGTTGTGCGGAAGTCCTCCACCTTCCCCAGGACCGGCTACGACGCGCTGCGGCTCTGCAGCCCCACCGCCAAGGCCCTGAGCCGCAGTGACGATGTCTCCCTGTGCAGCGTGTCGAGCCTCGGCACCGAGCTGTCCACCACGCTGTCTGTCAGCAATGAGGACATCCTGGACCTCCTGGTCGCCAGCAACTCCAGCGCCATCGTGACCCTGGAGAGCGATGACAACCTGCAGTTTACCGACGTCACACTGAGCTCCACTGAGGAGACCGGTGAGGCGCACCCTCCCGGCTGTGCTGCAGACTCCCAGGAGGGGAGGGAGCCCAAGCTGTTAGGACCGCTAAGCAGCTTCTTTACGAGGTAACGTCGTCTCCGTGCCCGGCAGTGGCCTCTCGTGCTCTGTAGTCTGGAACCTGTGCCATGCCGCTCTCCTGGTGGGGTCGCCATGCCTCCCGCAGCCCTGGGTCCGTGGAGCTGTGTGTGGCACTGCGTTGCTCCCGCCTGCCTGTGGCTCTGTATCCTCAGAGCCTCCGCACAGCGCAGGCCACTCTCCCACATCCAGCCTCCCTGTCAGGCCGGGCCCTTGCTCCAGTGACCTGAGTTTGGGGCCAAACAGGGCTTTGCCGACGGTGCTGTTGGGGTGGCAGCTCACTCTGTGCTCGGGTCGCGCTCCCTGTGCTGTCAGTGTCATGTGCGGTCCACCCTCCTGCTCCCGGCCTGCCGGGTCAGCTTCCGCTTCCCAGGGTGCTCTGTGCTCTGTCCAGTGAGCGTCTGTGCCCAGGTCACTGCTCTAGAAGGCCAAATATGCAGACGGTGCCAGGAGGGACCTTTGGGCATGGGGCCGGGCTTCCCGCCTGGGGTGAGAGGGTGGTCCTCGGTCAGTCACTGGGATCCTGGCTGCCCACGCCGTGGGTGCTGTGTGCAGGCCCGGGGCTTTGGAGAGTGCACGTTCCATTTCCATCCGGCCTCTGAGGCCAGGCTCGGCTGGGTGGGTGGCATTTCTGCCACTCACCCTGGTGCTTCATGCCCCCCTTGCAAAGCCCCCGTGGGAGCTGTGGCAGGACGTGGCGTGATGTGCTGCTGGGTCCCAGGCTGTCCTGTGGTTTGGGGGTACTTTTTGTTTCTGAGGTTCTGAGAGTAGAGCCCCACTCTCAGAACTCTGGGGACACCATGTCAGTCAGGGCCCCTCCTGAGGCTGTTGTGGCCCAGCATAGTGCTGGGCTCTGACGGGGGTGGCTGAATTCCTTCTACTCAAGTGAGTGTCTTCAGCTTTCCCTGGTTTTCTTTGTCTGTTTATCGATTGTTTGCATTCCTAGGGGTTGAACCCCCTCGTGCACTTCTTCTTCTTTTTTTTTTTTGGTTGAGACGGGGGTCTCATTATGTAGTTGAGACTGACCTGGAACTCACTATGCAGCCCAAGCTGGTCTTGAACTCCCAGCGATCCTCCTGCCTCAGCCTCCTGAGTGCTGGGATTACAGGCGTGCACCACTACGCCAGGCCTGCATTCTTTTTTTTTTTTGGTTGAGACGGGGGTCTCATTATGTAGTTGAGACTGACCTGGAACTCACTATGCAGCCCAAGCTGGTCTTGAACTCCCAGCGATCCTCCTGCCTCAGCCTCCTGAGTGCTGGGATTACAGGCGTGCACCACTACGCCAGGCCTGCATTCTTTTTTTTTTTTGCGTCAGGGTCCCACTGTGTTGCTCAGTCATCCAGGCTGGGCTCAAACCTAGGATGCTCCTGCCTCAGCCTTCCAGAGTGCTGGGGCCATTGGCGTGGGCCTGTCCATGAGCACCGCTGGGGCCTGTTAGATGGGGGTCATCCTGAGCTTCAGAATCCCAGGAAGAGACTGGGGGAGATTTCACATCACCTGAGGATCCCTGGTATGGGCTTGGGCTGCCTGGGAAGGCGCATGGTGGAATTTGGCCTGGGCCTCAGCAGACTGCACCCGCCTCCTAGCTGTGTGACCCTGAACAAGGGACTTCGCCTTTCTGAGTTGGTCTCTCCTCCCTAAGTGGCATTAACAAGAGCCGAGTGCGAGTGCTCCTGGGTCACTGCTTGTGCCCCTCCCTTCGTTGCCTCCCCCATCTTGCTCCACACTTCGGCGTCTCCACCTAGGGTGATGCGCCCTTCTTCATTTCGTGGGCTGATGGAGGGTGAGTTGAAGGGGATGATGTAGGCTGTGCCCTGCCCTGTCTCCTGTCCCCTCCTGTGAGTGACACTTGCCTGTTTCCTGTTTTGTTCCATGGTGCTGCCCTCCCGATCTTGTCTTGATGGCACTATTCCTGAGAACCCCGGTTGTTTGTGTCCCTCTGGAAACAGGAATGCGCCCGTGCATAGGGGCCACTGTGCGCTGAGCTGGAGCCTTTGTCCTGGAGCACAGAGGGCTAGAGAAGCCTCAGTCCGGGATGCCCGGAAGGTGTGGCTCTGCCCAACAGGTCCCTGGCTCCAGAGCTCAGCCCAGGCCTGGCCTGTGGCACTTTTGGTGGAGGGCAGAGCTGGGCTGGCGCCCCACTGTCCTCTTCCACGAGGGATCTCTGGGCTCGTGGGAGGTGGAGATGGCCAGGAAGCGTGACCGGCAGCCAACCTGTTGGTGACCCCAGGGTGTGGGGAGGCAGCGTGGGGAGGCAGGAGCGGGCAGAGGCCCGGTGGCCATGCGCCCTCCCTGCCCCCTCCCCATCCTGGGAGGTCACAGATAAGCGACTGGGGGTGGCCAGCAGTCAGGTGCACTGCCAAGGGTCAGCCGGACCGTGGCTGAGCATGTGGCCCAGGGCAGGTAGAGTGGCCTCTGAGCTGTGGGTGGGCAGTGATGGAACAGCTACCACACTGTGTCAACTTCCTGGAGCTCCGCAGGTAGGAGCTTTTGATGGCCCAGACCTATTTTTGTTTCCTGAAGGTGTCTGCTCTTCCCCACACTACCTCACTCCTGCAGGCTGCAGCACAGCTCTCCTCAGGCACCACTGGCCTCTGGAGTATGGGTGGCTGCCCTCCATAGCATCCCTGGCCTCTCCTGCTAGATGGCCCGTAGTGCACCCTGGCTGTGATGTTCAGCTGTCCCCGGGCAGGGGGTGGGAGCCTCTGCTGTGTCCTGAGCTGGCGCCTCGTCCTGTGTAGAAGAGGAGGCCTGTGTGGGGAGCCTGCATCTCAGAAACCAGGCAGCGAGGGTGAGAGTCCAGTGGTGCGGTTGCTTGGCACTTGCTCCCCTTTGGAGACGAGGAGGCTTCTTGGGAGCCAGGGCCTAATCTGCCCACCTGCACCAGCCTGGCGGGCCTTAACTGGCTTTGGCGGCGCCCCTCTTCTCCCAGGTGCCTTTCCTGAGTCCTGTGGGTGGTGCCTGTGCCGGGCTAGGGGAGCCTGCTGCACAGTGGTTCTACAGAGCGACAGCGGGGGAGGTGAGGCCACATTTCAGACCTGCTATATTTTTGTCAGAGTTCACTTTGCTCTGTAATTCTGCTACATGGACAAGTTTGTAACCATTGGCTTAAAAAAATCTTCAGCTCTTTGGGAGGATGAGGCAGGACGATCATGCTCGAGCTCAGCCTGAGTGACATAATGAGACCCTAACTCAAAGAAGAAAAAAAGGGGCAAGGTTGTAGCTCAGTGCAGAGGTTCTGGGTCCTTCCCCAGGACTGAAAAGGCAGACTTCAGATGGACACTTTGACTCCTCCTGAAAGTCTCAGCCCATTTCTGTTCCTCATGCACCCAGGCTTTTGGCACTTGGCCCTTTGGAGACCGACGGCAGTGCTGAGAAGGAGCTGCGCTCACTGCTGTCTGTTTAGGGGAACATTGGCCACTGCAGTGGGACCCGGTGCCAGGTGCCCTTGGCTGCCTGTGTATGCAAGGGGGCTGTGGGCTGCTGGCTCACCCACCGGGCCACTGTCCTCCAAGTGTCCCTGGACGGCAGCGAGCACCGTGACTGTCCATTCCCGAGTGTCGCAGTACCCTTTCCCGCTCCCATTTGTGGGAGAGCAGAACTGGACATGAGGTGGAGACCCTCCCATCTGCTGCCCAGCTTGGCCAGGCTCCTGCAGCACCGCCACACCTGTGTTTCCGATGCTGCAAGCAGGTGCAGAGGAGGAGGGGCTCTGTCCGGTGTCCTGGTGGCTCCTGATCCTGCTGCGCCCTGGAATCGAGCAGGCCGCTCAGCGGCAGCCATTGCTCTCATCACTCCTGTGTTGTTCCCAGGGCCGGCGCAGTGCTGACTCCTTTCTGTGACTTTGAAATCACCTCATTCCTTGAGTCCACTCCCTTTGTTCAGATTTCTCGAGTGGTTTCTGTATCGTTCCCTAGAATCTGGTCAGTTTGTGCCAAGTCTCGCTCATAGTTGAGGAACCTGAGGCGATGGTGGGAAATAGCTCTCCAGAGGTACAGAAGTGACCTGGGTCTGTGGCCTTCCGGCTTCCAGTCTGCCGGGCAGGACTGAGTTCCAAGCCGAGGTGCCGAGATGGAAGGGGAGGCCGTGCAGCACGGTGCGGCAGCGTCGCGTCGTCTCAGGTCCTCGGACTGCCCGGCCTCCTTCCCTCCCGCCGTGTCCCTCAGCACCAGCGAACCGAGCTGCGACACGAAAGCCTTTTCCACGAATCTGCTTGAGTCCCTGGTGACCTGGGCCGGGCAGAAGACGCTTGCTGTGTGCCGAGCTGGTGCTGGGTGCAAGGCCGGAACTCGCTGGCGCTGGGGCTCAGGGTCCCATCAGCAGGAGGAGCCAAGGTACCCACGCTTCAGGCTGGGTGGGTGAAGGAGCAGTGGGGGCCCAGGCCCTGCGTCCGTCCCTCAGCAGTGAGCAGAGGGGAGAGGTGAACCCAGCGGCCAGCTGGGCTTGGGTAGGAGCCCGCTCGGGAGCAGAGGGGCAGAGCTGAGAGCCTCGGGGCGATCGGGACCCAGGTCTCTGAGAGAAGGGGCCGAACGTGGTGGCCGAGGGAGGCAGTGCTGCCCAGCGCTCCGTGTTGTCTCCCTGGCATTTCCCACTGCTGAGATGGCAGAGAGGCCGGCCTTGGACAGTGGGGCTGGGGCCCCATCTCCGCTCCTTCGTGCCCGAGACCACACTTTTTCTGCGGAGCACGCCAGCCTCCTTCTCGTCACCATGGGCACAAGGGGGACCTTGGGCTGGAGCAGGTGCAGGCCAGGCGCTGCCAGCCTGCGCTGGGGAGTAGGTGGTGCCCTGTGAAAGAGTGGGAGGAGGAAGCGGGAGCCCTGCGGTGTGCGGCTCCCCTGAAGGCCCTGTGGGCAAGCAGGGTAGCACCTCGGGCCTGTGAGGCCTACGCGCTGCTGTGGAGGGGGTTGGCGAGGCCAGCACCGGGCCTCCGTTGGCAAGCGCAGGCCCGAGGGAGATCCAGGGTTCCCGGCTGGAGCGTCTCTGTCACT